TTTTTTTTTTTTTTTTTTTTTTGGCGGGTTGTTGAGGAGCGACTCTTAGCCGAAAGTGGCTATCATCTTTATAGCCACCTCAAGCCATATACCCTGACAAGAGACTTGTTTTCAACAGCCCGAAACAGCTGAGCACACTCTGATAATTATCTTGATATACCTATGATTTCCTTTCAATCAAGGCCAGGCAGTGGTAGCACCCGCCTTTAATCCCAGCACTTGAGAGACTCAAGGCGAGACTCAAGGGGAGACTTGAGGAGAGATATAAAAGGAGAGACTTGAGCAGACTCAGCAGACTCTTGCAGATTCTGTCTTGTCTCCAGACCAGACTCCTTGTCTTGTTTTCATTCTTCGGGTCTCCATCCCCACTCTCTCTCTTGCTAGGCCCTGACCCGGGGACCGGAGCAGCAGAATGTTCCTTACAAAATACCTTTTACAGGGAGGAATGTCAGGGGAGGAAAGCTTATTGGCTAAGCCCTCCAGGCCTCTAGGTAGATCTGTCTTGAGCCTGTGTGACCATAGTTCATGTCCTTTACCTGTGGAGGGGATTGGAGAGTTGCCTTTATGTGACTGATGGCCAGAAATCTATGGGGGGTTATAAAGCTAGTAACAAGGGCCTGGTGCTCAGGAGCAGACAAATCTCCTATGTCCCTTCCGGGCTTTTAGCCTTTGCTCAACCAGGGACTATGCTACCTTTCATGGTCCCACAGGATGAGGGATAAAGTGCAAAGATACAGACCAAGTTTAAAAGATAACAAAAAATAAATAAAGAAAGAAAGAAAGAAAGAAAGAAAGAAAGAAAGAAAGAAAGAAAGAAGAGGAAAGTCTGCTTTTCATGGTTGAGGCTGGGGAGAGCCCACCTCACTTATATTTATGCCCTTCCTGTGTCACTTTCTCTTTTGTTAAACCTTAGAGGTGTTTTAAATTGTTAAGAAATAGCATCTCTGGGAAGACGTTTAAAAGGAAAAGTGGAGCTGTGGGAGTGGAGCCGGGCCTATGTTTTAGCTCTGTCGGAAAGAAAAATGGACAGCTTCTCCTGGCAACCGGTTTCTTTCTCTCTGCACTCCCTAACTTCTCCAGGTCTGCCTTTAAAAGCAGGACAGATCTGCATTACTGCAGAAAACCCCACCAGCTTCCCTAGGAGGCTGTCAAAGTGCTCATACGGAGCCAGAGTTTTTTTCTGGCCGAGAGGGGGAGCCCCGCGATCCCAGCCCTAGCAACTGGGAGTCCCGACCCAGCCCCGGCCGTCGCCAGCACCAGTTTGGGCTTCAGTGGATTGGGAGAAGGAGAGAGAGGAACAGCCCTGGGGTCTGGAGCCCAGTGCCTTTGGAACCTGCACAAAGTTTCCCTGTGGGCCACAAACACGCGATCGTGGGCTACGGTTCCCGGAGCTCCTGTGACTGCCCCAGTCCAGCGACCACATCCCTCTACAAGCCAGGGTAGGAAGCGGGAGTGTCCCTGGCCCGGCCAGCTACAACCAGGTGGCACGGTACCAGGCGCAGACCCCGAGAGGAAAGCGCGGTTAGCGGGAGGGTGAGGAGGGCGCGCGGCTGCCTACAGGTTGCGCAGATCCGGACCCCGAAGGCGCAGGGAGTCGGCGGGCTGGGAAAGAGGCTGGGACCTGTTGCTGCAGGCGGGGTCAGTGAGGGAGGAAAATGGGGGCGCCCAGGGACGCCAGCCCTGCGCCTTCCCGCGGCATCCTCCCCTCGACCCAAGGAGGAACTTCGCTTGGGTGCGGCGGGGGCGCGCAGGCGTCGGGAGCGAGCGGTGGAGGACACTGTACCATCTCGCTGCGGGTGCGTGGATCAGGCAAGAGGAGGCATCGCTGGGTCACCGAGGAGACCTGAGAGCCAACTTCCTCCAGCCTGGTCTCGCTTTGTTTGGGTGGCTGTAAAAATGTGGGCAGCCGGCGAGGAGGCGTCAAGGAGCTTGTGACTGGGCCGCAGATACTTTAAAGCACTACGTGGGTAGGGCCCCCACTCTCGGGCGGTGTCCAGGCGGCTGCCCTTTGGCTAGGCCGGTCAGATCCCCGCTTCTGCGGGCGTTACGTTAGTGGGACTCGGTTTGCCAAGCTTGTTTGCTCTGGTCCACCTCCCCGTGGTGGCAGAGTAGACAGCCCAGCTGGCTCTCTATACTGGGGCTGCTGGGCTGATTTCCCTGTTTGCAGGAGGGAACTCAGGGCCATCTAGTTTTCTTGGAATGTGTTTACAATGTAGAATAGGACTTGAACAGGAAGCTGGACGCTGCAGCTAGAAATAGCGTGCCAAGGTAGAGTGGGGAAGATACAGCTGCTATTGGGGGAAACTCCCAAGTGTTTCAGTCAAGGAACCCCCCATCCCCACAGCCCACCCAGACACACACACACACACACACACACACACACACACACACACCGTGTCTTAATTTTTCTTGATGGAGCTTTTCTTTGTTTGCAAATAGACATTTAGGCGCCTTATTTCAGTAGGTCACTTTGACAACATAATATCAGTTAGGAAGCTATAATAACTTTGTATTGTGCCTGCTTTTAAAAATGCTGCACCAACATTTAAGAATGAAAACTTTCTAGACTATTTCAATGCTAGCTACTCTATTAATTCTAGGACTTGCAGAGGCCAGGATACTGATGATTTTATGTAGTCCATATGGCTGAACAGGTGGTAAAAGAGCACGAATTAGAAAACAGAGTAACCGATGAGAGGTGGGAAATCCTGAAAGGAATTGAATTTTTTTTCAGATTTGCAAATCTACTGCTTGCTCTGCCAGCCTTTCCTTCCTTCTCCCTCATAAACAAATAGCTAGAAATTGCTAGAAAACCCACCGATTGGGAAAGTTTGGAGGCTGGTATCTGTAAGTTTTTCTAGAAAGAACGGTGAGGCTAAGGTACTACTCCATTGCATAACTAAACTCTCTCCTTGAGCTGTCCAGGAGCCCTTTTTTCAAGTTTTTAAAAGACTGACAAGAAAAGAATAGAAGAATCTGGCAGGCAGCCAAACTAGACTGTGCTCAGTAGCCAGGCCTGAAAGAGACTGGGGAAGTTGCAGGGCATAATTTGAAGGGCTGGGTGGTGGTATTGGGGCTTAAATAAGGGGTTTCTTTTGAAACGAAAACTTAAATGTCTTTTTGGAAAAAAATAAAACAAAAACAATTAACTAAGCATAGAATGCAGTTGAGTATCAAGGAGAGTTAAGAAGGCCTAGAGGGAAGTGTGACCTTTGCTCTGAAATAGCAACACTTTGCATGTGCTTACACTGTTACTAGGTCTCCTCCAGATGCACTTTGTTAAATGCAGCTTGAGTCCATCAGCCTTGACCTTTCTTCTTTGTTTTAATGGCCAGTAAGAACGAAAACCAGCGCGGAGCAGATGGTTTTCCACCTAAATTGATTAATTCAATTATTTTCAAATAGCTTGGATTTGGGATCATAGAAGTAAAGGGGAAAATTCGTCTAGTATTTCTTGTATTACAGAAGTGACCCTATAATAAACAAACCTTCCTCTTTTACCTGAAGAAGGACAAATCAAGGTGAAAACTCACTGCCTCTTTCTCAATTCCAGGCAAGCCAGACACTCTCAGCCTTATCTGCAATTCAGACTTTTTTCTGTATTCTCTTTGCTTCTGTTTCATCTGTCCTTCATTTTATTCTTCAGTGAGGTGAATGAGGTGGGCATGGGCGGTAAATGGTAAAAAAACAAGTGTAGTTTATGTTCCTTCTGAATGTTGGAGTTTGAAGTTGTAAATGTCACTCTTCTCTTTGAGATTGACTTTATGAATCACTTGGTGCAAAGTGTCTTTCTTCACTGCGACTTTAGTTTTTCCATTTGCAAAATAAAGAAATTTTTCTTTACATAATTCCAAGGTCACTAAGGAGATGATGTGAAAAGCTTTTTCAAAGGTCATGAATTTTCTCACTGAGTTTATGAGAATAAAATTGAGATGTTTATATTTGTTATACATACACAATAATAGTTCTGTAAACTTATTTTTGTACCTTTTATTCATAGCTATAATTTAATCATAAATTTTTATATTTTACATTTAATGTTTTTGAGATTTCATACCAAAGTACTACTGCACTGATATTTCTACTTCTTCCTCTCTGATTTAAGACCTCCTGTCCTTTTCCCACAACTTCTCAAATTAATCTCTTCAAATAAACACACACCTCAAATTAAAAAAAACAAAACAAAACAAAAACCTTACTGCTTTCATTTACTGTTACTGGTATGTTTAGGATGGACACTTGGGATAAAGTAACCTGTCAGCCATCCAGTCCCTGGAGGAAACTGTTCCTTCATCTCTCAAAGCCACTGATTAACTATAGCTCTTCATGGAGAGATGGGATCTTCTGAAAGATTCACATTGTCATATCAGCTAATATTGTCATTATGTTGATCGTGTTAGGTGACTATGTTGTTGAGATTTCATGAATGAGGTTTTTCTATCATGTCTGAGTTCCCTATCTAGCAGTAGTTATTTTTGTCCTCTGGTTCTTACAATCTTTCTGACTCTTCTAACGCAATTTTCCCTGAGCTTTAGGTATATGGATTATGCTGTAGATGTATTTGTGTCTAGATTCCTCATGCCGTTTAGTCTTAGCACTTTGAACAACTTAATCTGTTGGAAAAAAGAAAATAAGAAAAAAACCTTGAATGAGGCATGAGAGTGACTCTTATCAAGGTGATAAGTTTGAGAGTTGCAAGTCAGGAGCCAGGGCTAGTAAGTAGTATGCAGTGTCTCTGGCCTAGGAGTGCATAGTATCTCAGGCCTAGGAGTGTGCAATGTCTGAGGTGGAGGAGTGTGAAATGACTCAGGCCTAGAAGTGTGCAATATCTCAGGCCTAGAAATATGCAATGTCTAGGGCCAGCTTGGTTTTCAGATTTTCATTGCTGAGGATGTTGAGTGAGATTATGTTATGTTAAAGGCTGAGTTATTTTGTTAAGCAGAAGAGAATGACTCATTGGTTTTTATTTATCTTTATATTCAAAACCAGTTAATATTAAAGCATAGCTTATATTTTTCTTTATGAAATGTTAATAAACACGTTTGCAAAATTGTGTTTATTTAATTGTTTATCAATTTGTATATTTTAATTTTTGGTGCTTTTGAGATAGTGTCTCATTCTGTATCCCAGAATACTTGGTAACTCACTATGTATGTACCCAAAGCTGGTATACACTGGAACAATAGGCAATCTACCAGCCTCATTCCGTCTTTTGAGTTCGGAAATTCCAGGCATGAGCCTCTGTGTTAGCCTGCCTTCCTTAGAAGCAACATTTGAGAGACTAAAATACATTTGTAATGCAGAAACTAACTAGTGATATCCACAACAATTTCCATATGGATTCTATGCTAGATTTTGGAGCCACTGATGGGTTGACTCATTTAGTATTTGTTATGTGATGAATATGAGTCTTGGTTCTCTGTCAAGATTTTAGCACCTAACTCAGCTTTGTTCATCTGTGTGTGTTAATTCATTTATTGTTGGTTGTAGCCACCAGCGGCCACTAATCAACTGGGTTCACCAGAAAGGGGGCTGAGAACGAAAAGATGACGGAGGGCAAAAAGAGATGAAGCCAAGACAAAGTTCTCTCATCTATGCTCTAATGTTCAGCTTCTCAATTTAAAGAGAAAGACCCCCGCCCGAACCCTTCTAGTTTCAGCGGGAGAGATGGGTGGGATAAGCTGTTCTTGGTCACGGGTCATGACCAGAGATGTCTCAAGGCAAGCCCAGGGGCAGTTCTTCTTTCAAGTTCCCTGCAGCCAAGGTGGGTAACACCACCTAGATCCTTGTCACTTGGTCTGTTGTGGTAAACAAGGTCTCTCAGGCCTGCTCAAGGCCAGGGGAAGGCACAGTTTGTTTGAACATCTATAACTTGTGAACTTATTAGTTGGTGATAACGTGATACTTGTGAAATATTTAATTTTTAGTTTAGCTAATAGTTAATATGTCAACAGTGAAACATATTACCTGTTTTTTAGATTCCTTGTATTATTCAGGAAAATAGGACAATTTGAGAAAGAAAACAAAGTAAGCATGATAAATGTTTTAAAGACAAAAGCTCTGTAAAATGTTTAATAATAGTCTTTGTTATAAGATTTTACCTTATCACCGGGTGGTGGTGGCGGCGGCGCATGCCTTTAATCCCAGCACTTGGGAGGCAGAGGCAGGCAGATTTCTGAGTTCGAGAGTTTGAGGCTAGCCTGGTCTACAGAGTAAGTTCCAGGACAGCCAGGGCTACACAGAGAAACCCTGTCTCGAAGTCTCGAAAAACCAAAAAAAAAAAAAAAAAGATTTCACCTTATCACAAATAATGGATATATCAAAAGCAAGTATATATAGACTAAAGTAGTCTAAATTGTTGATATAGTAGTCAGAATATCCATACTTTTGGTTTAACGACCAAGTAAATATTTAAGGATATATTAAGTTAATGTTAATA